GCACCCAGCCACCCTGGGACACAAGCTGCTAGTCTTCCTCCTAATTCACAGGCAAGAAAACCAAAGCCCAGAAAGATTACGCAGCCTGCTCAAAACCACACATCTGACACGGGGTGGGACGAGGAGCCGCCTGCATGCCCCAGCTCTGGTCTGCGGGGACAGCTGAGGAACGGCCTCCCAAGTGTGAACCTCCTGCGCTCCTCGCTCCTCATCACCACAAACTTCCCCGCCTCTGGCCAGGCAGCTGTGCTGCCAACAACCCTGGGGTTGTTCTGGAATGCTCCTTCTCAGAGTCTATTGGCCATCCTGATGGGCCCGCCGGCTAAACAGGCCACATTCCTCAGTGCTAAGGGTGTTCCCCACATCCTAACTCCTGGGAAAATGGAGTGCCTGGAATTGGAGGTGTGTCACACGGCTCTGCACCCGCACACTCAACTCAGCTGCTCCTCTTGGAGGTATGACAGGACAGCGTAACTGTCAGCGAGTCGGTCAGCAAGTCCCTTCAGGACCGGAAGCCTTTCCTTAACACCTGACAGCGAGAACGAGAAGCATGCAGACTTGCTGACTGGGCCTGGCAGCTGGGACGACACCCCAGGGACAACAGTGCTGCTGTCTCAGAAACGCTCAGTGACAGCACAGCGGACAGCACCGCAGGCAGCGCAGCACCACAGCAAAGGCCGACTTGGAAGAACTAGGTTCTAAACATGAAGACATTTAGAATCACTTTATTTTACTTCACCCACTTTTCCTCTTTTATGGAAGCACAAGAGTCGTCTGACTTGAAAAGTTTGTACTTGCAGTGAGTAGAGAAAAAGCTAAGTGATAAGAAAGCACATGCCAGTCTAATTGGCAACACTTCCCTGCTAATAGTACAAACAGTAATGCTGCAACTTACCGATGGTGACATCGGATCTGGCCAACTCTGCCCTGGTCTGAGCGCTGAGTAGTCGCCGTCATGGATACCCTGGAAGGGCCCCAGGAACAGGTGCTCAGGGAGGTCCTGCCTTTGCCACTTATTTGTGGCCTCTCTCTGCCTAGTTTTACCCACAGCAGACAAACAATAATGCCTACTTTTTGGACTTTCGTGAGAATTGCATTAATATATGCAAAGTGCTTAAGCTCCTCACGAATGTTAGCTATGTAACAGCCAGAACGATTCTCTGTAAAGATAAATCAGATCATGTTACTCCCTCATTCAAAATTCTCTAAGCCAACTAGGAAGGAAGGGAGAGAAGGAAGGAGGAAGAGAAGGAGGGAGGAAGGCAGCCCTCCCAAGGTTTCCTATCACACTGAAGTAGGTGAACATCTAAATTCCTCACCTCAGCCCTCAGTGCCCCAGGGGCACTTCCTGCCAGTGACCTCCCTGCGCAGTACCCCTATGTATTATACCTTTGAAAGATGCCACCCAGAGCTGCATTTCCCCAAACACGGGGTTGTCACCAGCACAGTACAATCGGTTGGACACCAAGTTTTGACTCCAGAGTTCCTGCTGCCTGAATGCGGCTGCCAGGGCAGCACCCAGCTCCCTCCATCCTTTGGGCTCCCTCTCAGATCCCACACACACTGCCCAGCCTGGCACTAAGGACTTTATGTTCCCTCCTTATAATGTGAACCCCATGAGGGCAGGAACTATTCTTGCTGTGCAAGCTCCCATGCCTCCAGGGTCCAGAACAATACCTGATAAATACCTGTGGGGTGACCCGAAAGTGAGACAAAACCAACCTAGAGGCAGGCAGGCACCTCTGAGCTCCTTCGACCTCTCCCCTGCTTATCTTCAGCTTCATCCCATCACAAGGACACGGACGGAAACTTAAAGCCAAAGTGGGCTTTCTTTGTACCCTCCTAGAACACCTTGTGCAGGTACAGGTGGAGATCAGCCAGCGCACTCACAGAGCACACAAAGAGGTGATGATACCCATGGTCCGGGCCCCATCATGAGCTCTGCAGCAAGGCCACGTGAAGACCTGATGGCCACTGCATGTCCCCTCTCCACACTCCATATGAAAGGAACATGGCCAGGAACAGTCACTCAAGGAACAAGGGAATCATAATGACTCCAACATACAATGTGTAAGTGAAATTCTCACTATGGCCTTTCCTACCTCACATATTATAAACATATTTTTAAAAGGGTGTGTTTTTTTAAAATCACCATTTCTATCACAAATTATAGATTTGGAAATTTGCATTTTAGAAAGTTAACACCAAACACCCCCACTCCCCAAACAAAACAAAACCATCAAGTTTTCCAATAAAATTGGACCTCTCTAAGCTCTTCTCAGTTTCACACTGACTGATAAATTTTCTTCAAGTTTTTAATAAGTTGGTAAGTTCACCTATTAAACTCCAAAGTGTACGTTCTAGCGATCTTCTACCTATTTAAATAATATGATTTGGTTCTAAGTACTGACAAAGTTTGTCACAACATCCAAGGGGATATAACCCAGCTCTTAATAAGCCTTATAGCTAAGGAATTTTGATGATGAATAAAAAGTGATTACCAGGCTTTGCTTGCAGCTATGCATAAAATGTTCACTGTGGCGCTGTCTGTTAAAACGATATTAAAACACATATACGACCGTGTGTACACTGTTCTGATATTGCGGGAAGAATACACATCACAGCAGGTGGAGGAAGCTGAGCTCCTGGCTATGGGTGGAAGGAGGTTTCCTTGTCTTTTTTCTTTGTACCTTTAGAATGTACTGTGTGCATACTTATATTTTTAAATCTGCAAAAAAATTAATGCTAGACATTTAAAAAATTTATAACTAAAATTATAAATTTTATTTTTAAGCTGTGATGCTACAAAAGTGATTAATAAAACACACTGCCAGCTTTGGAGCTTTTTAAAATCTCTGCCTAGCTTGTCCTTCACTGTGTCCCCTGCTGAAAACAGGGAGGGCCTAGCGCACAGACAGCATAGTACTTGGTAAATATTATGGATAATAATGAACTACGTTTGTTCTACTCACTCACAGACAAATGTCAGCCTAAAGAATTTTCTTCTTCCAAAAATCGAAAAGCAGTTGAACTGCTATTACAACATGTAAGTTCACAGAGGAACGAAGTAGCCTGTGCGCCCAGAAGTTTTTGCCGATGATGTCATTAGCTAATTCTCTCATCACTCCCAGGACTGACTTCCTGGGCACATCGCACCTCAAGACGCGCGTCATGCATTTCCCAGAGCTGGACCAGTTTTCTCTTCCCCTCTGCCCCCTGCAGCAAGGCCTCCTCTCTTCCCTTTCAATTGTATCTTCAAATTGGCTGAGGATGTCGCTGAAGGCGTTGTCTCCGGAACCCTCCCATATCTAACAGGCATTACTCAAAGACAAGGCATTCCTTTCCAAGCTCGGGCTGAGTCCTTGGCCTGCACCTCGGGGCAGAATGGGGCACCCAGCTCAGAGCTCTCATCACCTATCTGCCACGCCACCACCGTTGGGGGTGCCCCTGAGAGAGGACTGAGCCCTCTGGAAGAGCCCTGCCCAGAGGGGCAGCTAAGTCTCTTCCCCAGGGCAGAGCAGCATCACCGACCCTTTCTCCTTCTCCCTGTCCTCTCTGGGAAGCCCTCGGCAGGCAGAGGGGAAAGCATTGCCCGGGAACTGTCCTGAAGACAGCCCCGTGTTTGGGGGCATGCAGCTATGGGTGGCATCTCTCAAAGGTATAATACATACGGGTAAATTTAAGAGGGAACGAAAATGTTTAAATATTTCTATTTAAATAATTCTATTCCCAAAACTTAACGACAGGTTGATCACCTTAATGGAAGCACTAAGCGTCCAGAAGCAGGTGTGACGCCAGGCCACTTTTCGTTACAGGCTCTTTGAGAAAGGAACGCTAACCTTCATCAGTCTGGGTAAGGAGGAAATAAAACGCCGTTATCATACGGAAAACCTACACGGGCTGGCTAAAAATACTCCCTGCGAACCGAGCAGAGTGGTGCGGGAGACGTCTCCCCCGGACGGCCCGGGGCGGGGACACATTTCAGGGTAACCAACGCGTACATCGGGGCTCCATGGACCCCTTCCCTCGGACCCTCCACCGCCCGGTGCTGTTCCTACTGCAGATGCGAACGCGTCAGAAGTCACCCCGGGCCCCGGGACGCCCAGGTGCCTCCGGAGCGCTCCC